TTGACCTCTGGTAGGCATCTATTCTATTATCTTCCTTCTGACTCTTGAAATCATGCTGCTTTTTATCAGAATGAGTCGGTGTGTATTCGAAACATGTGGGACCCCAAAATAGAAGGGTGGTCCTGCCCCTTACTGGAGATTACTGGGGTTCTTCCTCTGCACCAGGCACTCCGTGTGGTCCCTCATAAACCTTGCCCTGTGATCCTTGCAGCAGCACAAGAGGCCATCGTTATCTGTGCTTCATGGTGAAGATAAGTGCTGGCCCAAAGTCACACTGGAGTGATTGCAGAGCTGGAACTCAGCACAGCACCCTGTGTTGCGGGAGCCGTAGCCTTGCCAGGATGCGACACAGCCTTTCCCGTGTCATCTATAGTGTAGATCAGGGGAAATGACAAAGAAAGACTTTTAAAGCTGAGTTTTCCAGAGAAGAGGAAATGGAAAGAAGACTAGGAAAGGAATCACCCACCCCATCACCATCCAGAACTAGCATGAGGACGTGGCCTCATTTACCCCAGTTGACAATGACTTAGGGAACCATGAGCTTTCTCTCCTTTTCCCAGCCTAAGTGGGGTAAGCTGCTGTCCCTCTGGCTGCATCCATGCTCAGGCTCCTGTCATGTCTCAGGGGAGGCCCTTCTCTCTGGAAGCCTCTCAGCAGAGACCTAATTTGACCTCCGGGGCTTCCTGGCCACTTGAGCCTAGAAGATGGCCCATCCCTGAATCAGGGCATTATCTTACCCAGGCATGGAATAAACAGGTGCAGAGGAATGAGAAAATCATATCAGCCTGCAACTCTGTGGCCTCCAACTGGAAATTCCGATACGTTCCATCTGCCATTTCTCTTTGCTGCTACATTTCCACCCAGTGCCACTCCTGGGGTTTATACCCTGGCTCCAATGACCTAGGCCAGCTGGGGGGGTCACTTTCACTAGATTAAATCTGATTAAGAGTGTCAGGTGGCAGAGAGGGGCCCTAAAGCACCCCAGAAACAATACTGGTTTTACGTTCCAACCCTTCCTTCTTCCAAGTATTCATATGGAGTGACCACGTACAGTTGAGCAGGTTGTATACTATGCCACATTACTGAAGACAGAACTTGCAGTGACCTCTGATTCACATACTCTCAATGTTTCCTCAACTATGAGGACACTGGTATCAACTAAAGCTCACCCTCAGAGGCCTGTACACATACATCGCAATCCTCTCAGAGGGTGACTCCCAGGAAAACCAAGGTGAAGAAACTCAAAAGACTAGGGCAATATTCTGCCTTTAATACCTGGGAATACTAGCACCTTCTCCGACCCTCCACTCTTTCCCCACCCCAGTATTCATATGTAGATCCATAAAGCCTTTGAGACATTCTGCCAAGAAATTCATAGTGCAGGTTGTTTCTAGAAGAGTGACCACATGTCTGGTTTGCTCTGGACAGTCATAGGTTATGACTATTGTAATGGTGGTCTCAACAGTTTAGCACTTGTCCGAGACAAAAGTGTCCTGGTTTGGATAGTTAATTATAGTCACCCTACTGAAAAGCCACAAATGGGCCAGCCCAGAGAGACTGAGAAAAGGCAGCACCAGCCAATAACAGAAACAAACACTAAGAATCATTTAATTGAGCCACCAATATATATACCTATATGTATATATGTCTGAGTTATGCACATGCATGTATATATGGTTTATATGAATGCATATATAACATATATATAACATGTATAATACATACATTTGTTGAGTGTTAGATAATTCTCAACCTGCCAGCCTCTGCACTAAGAGCTTTAACGGCTCTGCATCTACCTGTATATATATTTTAAAACTAAGACTTTATTCTGACACCTCCAATTCCAATCCAATATTACCAGGGTCAGTCATCCTAGCTCTTCCCCTTTTCATAACTGTAGCTTTTTTCTATAGCAGAAAGAAGTCTGCCTCTCATGATCTACATCATATCTACTTATCTGGAAACCCTCACGTACACATACATAGTTTCAGAGTCTCTGGCTCTATCCTTATGAGAAACCAATTTACTAACTACAGATCAGTATCTACACCCAGTGCTTTGTCTTCAGCCTGAGCAGTCAAAACACCATTTTCCAAAGTACCTTCGGCGAGTTCTATATGGTCTCTTGTAGGCTAAGTTATTCTTTTGTAATACTTTAGATGTTCTGCAACCTTTTGAATTCCATTTTGGGTTCTCCCTACAACCTGGTGAATTTTTTAAAATACATATGTAAAATTCATTCTTTGCGATGTGTAATTCTATGCATATGCGTTTGCAACTTGACCAAAGCACAGAATCACGTGTTCACCACCTCCGTCATGACACGAGACACTTCTATCACTCCCAAACTCCCCATGCCACTCCACTGTGGTCAACCCCTTCATGAGCATCTTCCGTGGTAACACTGATCTGTTTTCTCTCCTTGTAGTTTTTGCCTGGCCCATGAATGGAATAATGCAATATGTACCCTTTTGAGCCTATCTTCTTCCATTAGGCAAAATGCATTTAATTCATCTGTCTATTGTGTAAATCAGTGGTTTCTGCCTTGGTGACACTGAGTAACCCTCTGTTGTACGCTGTGTGATAGGTTGTCATTCACTGGTGAGGGACATCCAGCTGTTTCTAGTTTAGGGTGAGTGTGAAGACACGTGCTGTAAACGTTCTCACACAGACCTTTTGTAAACATAATTTTTATTTCACTGGGTAAATACCCGGGAGTGGGATTGCAGGGCTATATGCTAAGAACTTCTTAAATTTTCTAACTTTATAGAAACTGTCTGTGTGCCAAAGGGCACAGTACCTTTTTTGCATTCCCACCAGCAATAGATACATGATGGTTTCAGTTGTACTGGGGCTCTTCAGCAGCTGGTACTGTCAGTATTACGTATTTTAGCCACTCTAATGGGTATGTAGCAGTATCTCATTATAAATTTAATTTGCATTTTCCTAATGACTAATGATGCTGGGCATGTTTTCATGAGCTTATTGGCCATCTGTACATTTTCTTTGGTGAAGCATCTTTTCAAATTCAAATTCTCTCTCTCTAAAATAAAAATAATAAAAATAATAAAAATTAAGAACTGTTAATTCAGGAATGAAAGAGGTGATATTATTACAGACCTCACAGACATTAAAAAGACAATAAAAGAATATTATGGACAATCCTGTAACCATAAATTCAACAACTTGGATGAAATGGACCAATTCCTTGAATACATGACCTACTAAAACTTACTCTAGAAGAAATAATCCGAACAGTACTCTATCAAACAGATTAAACTCATAGTTTTTTCTCTCTCTTTTTTATATGTTTATTTTTGAGAGAGAGAGAGAGAGAGAGAGCGCGCGCACACACACACAAGTGGGGGAGGGGCAGAGAAAAAGGGGGACACAGGATCTGCAGCAGGCTGACAGCAGATCAGGGGCTCAAATTCACAAACCATAAGATTATGACCTGACCCAAAGTCAGACACTCAACTGACTGAGTCACCCAGGTGCCCCTAAACTCATAGTTTTAAGCTTTCCAACAATAATAACAAAAACACCTCTAGGCACAGATGATTTGGTTTGACTGGGGAATCCACCAAATGTTTAATGAGGACATAATGCCAATTTATAATCTCTTTCCGAAAACAGAAGAGAATACATTTCCCAAATCACTTCATGAGGTCAGCATTACTCTAAAGCCAAAACCAGACAAAGACACTACAAGAAACAGAAACAACAGATCAATATCCCTCACAGACACAGTTAAACAATCCTCAACACAATGTTAGCAAATTGAACCCAGAAACATGTGGAAGGGACAATATGCCATGATCCAGTGTGGTTTATCTCAGGAACACAAGGCCGGGTTAGCTTGGAAAAATCAGTGTAACTCACAAAAAAGGAAAAATCTTACAATTATCTCAGAAAAACTTTTTGAAAAAAGCCAACACTAGGTGCATGTTAACAACTCCCAGCAAACTAGGAATAGAACAACAAACCTCCTTAACCTGAGAAAGAGTATCTGTAAAACCCTGTCGCATCTCTGTTCTCTGGTTCCTCCTAGCATAGGGAGGACACACTGGCTCCTCTGAAAAGCCTTTTCTTCCTTTTTTGGTTGTTGTAATGTTTATTTATTTACTGTTGAGAGAGAGCCATGTGAGTGGGTAAGTGGTGGGTGTGCTCCGGCAAGCAAGGGAGGGACAGAGAGAAAGGGAGGCAGAATCCCAATCAGTCTCTGTGTTGTCCATACAGAGCCCACGCGGGGCTTAAGCCCACAAATGGTGAGATCATGACCTGAGCCAAAATCAAAGTCAGATGATTAACCAACTGAGCCAGCCAGTGTGTCCCTGAAAAGTCTTTTGTTCTTGAGAATGTACCACAGAACAGCCAAAAAGGAACTATATTTCATCAATTCTAAGATGCCCATTTTTTTTCACATTTTAACATTTCTGAGTTCCAGATACATGTTACAGCCAATGGTATCTTACAATTATAAAAAAGGCAGAAAGTCTTTTCTCTCTTAGTTGTACGTAAAATAAGGGTGCATCCTTCAAGGGCATTTTTGAGTGTTTGAATTGATTGTTTTCTAGAGTTGTAGCAAACACTTGTGGCAGAGACAGGTAACTATCCATCAACATCTGTTCCCTTCTACCATGGTAATAAATTTTAGCCTGACCACAGGATGACCTGGTTAGAGACCACACTTCCAGGGCTCCCTTGCAGTGGGTGTGGCCAATGGGAAGTGAGTGGATGTGATGTATACAACTTTCGAGTCGTGGATAACCAAAAAGACAAGCCAATTAACTTGGAATTTCTATCTTTCCCCTCGAACAAGCCTGATTCCCTCCTTCAGCCTTAAGGGCATTAACAATGTGGCAGGAAAAGGGGGTGAGGAAGTAACAATAGGAAGGAACCTGGGTCCCTGAGTGACCAGGAGAAGCAAGGCCACCTGCCTACACAAACCACTCACCTTGGGACTCATATATGGCACAGAAATCACCTTCCATTTTTTAAAATCTATTGTATTTGAGAGCCTCCCTCCATCTCAACAGATTATTATTTATCGTAACTAAAACATTTCCCTCAAGCATTGGCTCATCTTGGCCAGCCCCCTACCTGGCCGTTTTTCTGTCCAGCCTTCTGATTATCTCTTTGCAGCAGATACTGAGATTCTGCCCCTGCGGTAGGATATTTCTGTCTGGCATGTTGATGTTCTGAGCATTTTGACATGTTTATCTGGATTGATTCCCTTAATAAGTTTGCTATTTCCCTTTTATGCTGCTTAGTAACGTAACCATTGTCAATGATGACTACATTTTGGTGAGGATTGTTCTTCCGTGAATAATCACCACTTCAGAATCAGCATGGCCGCAGCAAGATAGCTTCATCAAAATGAAAACCCCTGCTGGCACACTAAAAATGTAGAGAGGAAAAGAGGGAGGGAAAGAAACAAGGATGGAGGGAAGAGGGATGGGGGAGGGAGAAAGGAGGGTAGAATGAGAGAGGGAGGAAGGAGGAGGGAGGGAGGGAAGGGAGAAGGTGAGGGAAGAAGGGAGTGGATTGAGGGAGAGAGGAAGGAGGGAAGGAGGGAGGAAGGGAGGACAGGCAGCAAAAGAGCAACACTTTTTTCAAAGGGACCAGGGGCCCCAGGAAAGGGTCCTTCCTCTTCCTCTGTAGTTCTCTGTTTCCTGTCCTGGAAAATCATCTGAGTGGTTCCCCTGTTGGTTTTCCACATGACTAAACCCCACGGGCTTCATCTAATCATACCCAGGCTGCTTGACTGCCTCTCCCCAGTTCCTCCCATGCCTGGAGCCCAGTAGGGGCACAGATCCGGGCACACGGCCACCTCCTCACCTGCCTTCTCCCACGTCATCAAGGAGGCTTCTCACTGGTGGCCCAGGTGAGAGGAGGGCTGGCCTGGGGTCTCCAGACACTCACAGCATGGAATGGTCCCTCCAGCTCCTGGCCTGCCTGGTGGGCATCTTCCCAATGGGTAAGTTTCCCACTCTTCTCTGTGGCCCCTGTTCAGAACAGAATAGATGCTCATAGAAACTTAGGTACAGTCTTCTCTCCTTAAACTTGGGATGACCATGTTGCCCTTTGGGAAGCTGTGGTGACAGAAGCCATAAGTTCAAGCCTGGGTGATGCCTTGCGTTTCAGTGACTTTAGGCAATCCTCTGGGGACAGTGACTTTAGGCAGTCCTCTGGGGACAGTGACTTTAGGCAATCCTTTGGGGACAGTCCAGGGACTTTGGGTGATGCTGATCAAGTGGTTTATGTCTCGATGGACACAGCCCAGAGGGGCAAGGAGTTTGGGGTAAAAGTGGGGGTGATTTCACATGGGGAAGAAGGCAAGCAACAGAGGGCATCCTGACCACCCAGCGGGAACCCCAAGGTGTGAACGGGAACTCTTTGCCACAGGCTTGAGTAACAACATCATAGCCACTCAGCTCATGAGTTTGTATCCCTGGGAACGGTGTTTCGGTTATGGACCACCTGTATCAGAATTTCAGTGGGGAGAGAGCATCTGTTTAAATGCAGAACCTTGGACTCCACCCCAGACCTGCAGAATGAGATTATCAGGCAGCGGAGCCCAGAAGTCTCCATTTGCAACCATCTTCTCAGGTCATTCTGATGCCTGACATAGTTGAGGGTAATTGGGATAAATGACAAAGGCCATCCTCTGAGCCCCTTGGCCCAGACCCCAGTCCTTTCCTGGACTCCCGCCTGAGACGTCCCTCCTGTGAATATGCCCCTAGACTCAGCATTGGTGCCTCCATGTGCATGGCCACTGGCCGTCATGTGCCACCTGAGAACACCTCTGACATCATGGTGCTCTAAGCTGTTGCGCAACATTCCTTGGTTGGGGGCCCGTCTCCATGACTGGATTATACACTCCCGCACCTTAGGCTCCTTTTCCTGCCTCTCAAGCATTCAACAGAGGCAGAGTCCAGTTCAGGTCTGGTTTGGATAATAGCAGCTGCCTACAAAGCTCTTATAAGTGCTGGCCACTGTAATTAGTAACTCACATAAGCCTCATAGCCCTTTGTGGAAGGAATTACTATATTCCCTTTTCACAGATGAGGCAACGGAGGTACAGAGGGGCTTGATGAGTGGAGTAGGGTGGAGTTGGGATGTGTGGCTCTGGACTGGACCACCACCAGCCCCCACCTGAGCTGCCCGTTGTCCTGTGACACAGCCCTGCAGTGAGGACCAATGGGGAGAGGCTTTCTTTTCTGAGTGACCTAACTCAGCTGTCTTTCTGGGATGATTTAGAGCTGGGTCCCACTTAGAGGGTGGGGGATGGAGGAGGTGACCCTGCCCAGACCTTGGGTTGATAAGAGAGCGGCTCAGACGTAAGTGTTGACATCACACCCAGCTTTAAAACCTGACTCTGCTATTTACTAGCTGTGTGGTCCTTGGAAGGTTACCTCACTTCTCTGAGCATCAGCAAAGTGGGATCCCTGGTGCCTTGTGGGGTACTGTGAAGGGTGATTAGATCATGCATAAACCACCCCCGCCGGCACAGTCCTGGTGCTCAGTGATTGTGCAATAAATGGCAGGGAAATCTTGTTGAAGTCACATAACCTCAAGAGAGGCTATGTTTGGCGGGAGCACAGGGCCTGTTTTGGTTTATTTCTTTTCTCCTGTTGAGGGTCAGTGACTATGAATCAGTCAAAGACAAAAAGACTTAGAGGAAGCAGAAGTAGTCATGTGTCCAAGAACAAAACTTAAACCACGCAAGTGTTCCTGCCATGTATCGAGATTTACCCAGAGAGGCTGAGGTGTTTTGCGGGGGGTGGGGGGGGGAACCTTTTTTCTCGTACTAGCAGCTGCTTCACAGAACTAAGGTGAGCAGGGTCACACTTTCTGGGACCCCTCTGGCCCTGTTCACCTATGAGTCTCTCCGTGTGGCACCAGGCCTGGGACAGAGGCCGGAGGACCAGGCTAGGTCAGGCTGCAATGCAGGAGCCGAGCGACTTCACGAGCTGGGTGCCCGCACGTCACAGCCTCGACCCCAGCTGCGTCTCTGAGCGTAGGGACAGGACAGACCCTTGGCCAAAACAAAGTGGGAGGAATTTGTCCAGGAAATCCCCCTCCACTGCCTGTGCCCTTCTTCTTACTGATGCCACCCACCCTCAGCACACAGTGCCCTGGGGCAGCCCCCAGTCTCCCAGGGGCTCACACATACTCTCCCTTGTCTTCTTGTCTCTCCCGTCTGGCACCCCACAGATCTACTTTTAGAAAGCTGGACATGCCAGGGAACATGCGGGGGGAGAGAACAATGGTCTGGGAGCTCTGACCACTTGCGTGACCTTGGACAAGACTGCAGTTGGTCCACAAACCTCTGATAAGTAGGTGGAGCGATCATAGTGGCTGTCACCCTCCAGGGCTTCTGTGTCAGGCCCTGACAAGCAGCTCATTCACTCTTCACCCCAGCTCTACAACATGAGCACCCCTGTGCCTGTTTTATGGAGGCTGGTGGAAGTTGGGTGGTTTTTCTGGGGTGTCACAGCCTGGACTGAACCAGAGTGTTCTGAGTGCAAGCCCCACCTTTTCCACCACCCACGTGCAGTGGTGGGAGCCCGGAGCTCTGATCCACTGCTGACACACAAACCGAAAGGCAAGACAAATCTCAGTAGTGAGCAAGGGCATGGGGGTGCAGGGAAAGGCCAGGGAGGAGATGGGCTGCTGTCATGGGTCCAGGGGGAAGCAGGAGAGTTTCCTGAGCCAGGATGATGCTTCTGCTCCTGGCGGCTACTGTGGCCAGTAGCTTGGGCTAAGAAGTCCTACTTGGGGCAGAGGAGGACTGACGGGGAGCAGAGCCCCCTGAGAAGGCTGAGGGAGCACAGGCAGAGACAGGCTAGGTGGGAACTCTGGAGAGCAGCACCCTGGGGTGGACACTGGCCCTGGGGCATGGTCAGCCGAGGCTCCCCATCTGCAGCTCAGGCAAGTGGGGCCACATCCACAACCAAGTGGCGGAGAGGTAAGGCCAGAGGAGAAGCCGGGATAACCCCGAGCTCAGGAGAACAGCCAGGCCTCTTCCTCATTCCTCCCTGCCCCTCATCCCTTCCCTAGATGCTTCTGGGTCCAGCTCACACTGAAAGATGGGATTCCTGTTTTCTCTGTCACCTCCCTCGTGATCTGTAGCCCTTTCTCACCTTTTCTCTACTGATAACCTATCTGCACAATTCACAGGCCCCAATAAGAATTGCTGGGAGTAAACTCAGGCAGGAGAGAAGTGGATGGAAGGCAGTGTGCCCCAGCTCAACCTACACACCTCATTGGTGATGTTTGCTGGCCAAGATGAGCATTTCCCCTTGCCCCCAAATGCCCTCTCTTGGCCCCCCAGGTGCCACCATGCCCGAGAGGCTCCCACCGGAGTCACTCCCTGAGAACACCCCTGTTAACATGCCAAATGTCCCCAAGGAGGGTGGCCCCCTTACAGATAGGTGGCCTCATGAGAGTGGCTGCCTGCCCACTGGTGATGTCAGCCATCATGGGGCTGAGGGGGTGGCAGCACAGCGGAGCTCTGAGGGACTCCAGCTCTGAGCACTACATGGCCACCCCTCTGGGAGGCACGGTCCACACTGATTACCCACACAGTCCCTAAGATGCTAAAGTGAGCTGCAAAAGGTGAAATGTCAGGGTACCATATCTTCACCCCTGCTACATCGGCTTAAGATGTGTGCCCAGAGCACTTCCCCACCACTGCCCAGCACCCCACCCTGCTCCCTCGTATTCACCCTCCCTTGGCAGGGCTGGTGAGAGAAGGGGGCTAATGTGCATTGAGCATTTGCAGGGTGAGCTACACGTGTGACTTCATTCAACCTTCAAGCCCATGAGGAAGGTATTAGGTGCCCCATTTTGCAGCAAAGGAATCTGAAACCTGGGACAGTAAGTAGACTGCCCAAGGATCACCCAATAAGTGATTGAACCTCGGACTGGGTGCTCATAAGTGTCCGGGAAAGAATGACCACAAGTGAGACCATCACCCAGGTCCAGCTGTGCCAACGCAGGGAAGCTTGCTGGCATGCCCTGTGGTCCGCCATTGAGTGGCGGATGTGGACAGTGAGAGGAATGTGGGTCTCTTGTGGACCCTAGAGGCTAACAGTCCCGAGGCAAGGAGATTAGAGACTCCACAATAAGGGGGCTTGGTTTCAGTTCAGGAGCTGTCCCTCCCTTGCCCTAAAGACGGGCATGAGCTACCAGAGGGAAAGACAAATGTCACAGGATTCTGGGGAGCTTGGATTCCTGCCAAAGCAAACGCATGTGCTCCCTGGGAAGTTCCTGCTGGGACTTCCCACCCTCCCCTTGAGTCCCTGAGTGGACGCATCCAAAGTCTCTTGTGTAAGAGGGAGTCCAGGTGGTTGCCTCTTGAAACACCATTCAGCAGGTAAATAGGAAACACAAATCTCCCCCTAACTGGAGCCAAGTTCCTAACACTGGCTGAAAGGGCCTATGGGTGCCATCTCAGCTGCTAAAGCAAAGCCCCCTGGGAGGGAGAGGCCATGGCACACCACCTGTATCCCACTTCGCCATGTTCCAAACCAGGCTTTCATCCTCGAGGGACACAGCACACGGGACAACGTAGAAACATGAACCACCAAGGGGGAAGCCTTGGCTCTGCTTCTGGTTAGTCAAAGGACCTTGGGCAGTCACGTGGCCTCTCTGAGCCTCAGTTCTCCCTTCCCCAAAAGGGGCTATTGCCAGCCTCTCATGGGGTTGTTGTACACATGAAATGGTATGAGGAATATCTCCCAGTGAGCACCCAAAGCACCGTGTCCCCTGGGCCCCTTATCTCGTCATGTCTGCAACCTCTATGCTGATGGCCTCACCTCCCTTTGCCTAGAACACCTACCATCTACACCAAGTCTTAGAAAATCCCCCTCCTTTCTCGAGGGTCTGTCTGTGTCCTCCAAGCATTCCCTGCCTAATATTTGCACACCTCTTCCTCTTCCCCCAGCCCACACCACCCTCCCCTGCCAGCCTGATTACCCTCCCTTCTGCCCTATTTCAGCAACCCAGTTTAACATCAATTACTACACGGCAAGAGCCGTGCTAGGCATTAACAACAAATACGACCAGACATATGTGGTCCCTGTCCTCCCAGAGCTTCTGGGTGCCTGGAGGACAAACCTCTGCCAGCCCAGGGGCACAAGGCAAGGGTGCCAGACCCAGGCTTGGAGGAAGGCCTCCCTCTGTAGGAAGAGTCAGCAAGAGACCTGGGGGTGACTGGGAGGAAGTTGGTGAGTGAAATGGGCCAGGAACCTTGTTCAGACAGAGGGAACATTGTTCGTGTCCCTCATTAGAGCACCTGGCAGGCTGTAGTGTAATTATGTGTTCACAGATCTGTCTCCTTTCTGAGTGGTGAACCCCAACAGGCTGATAAAGTATCCTATTGATCTTTGTAACCCTGGCTTGTATCCAAGTGCCTGGCTTAGAGTGGGGACATGTCTGATAAATGTCTGCTAACTGATAGCAAAAAATATCTCTGGGCAATCAGTACCTGGCTCCAGGATGCCTGTAAGATTCAGAAGGTCAAAAGAGGCTGAGGTTACAGAGTGTGAGAAGTGTAGGGAAACTGAGGCAGGGACTGAGCCTCAAGAGTGGGGAAAAGTTTCTGCAGCTAGAAGTACTAAGTAAACCAGAAAAACCTTCAGAAAGAGTTTCTCCAATTTGAAACTAGGCCCTTTGATTATTAACAACTGAGCAAACAAGCTCTTACTAGAGGTAAATGTCAAGTCCTCCACTTGGGTTCAAAAGCATAATTCCACTTATTTAGAGGAAATGAGATTTGGCTTATAAACAGATTGACTGCAAAAAGAACTTGTGGTTTTACTCAATTGCAAGCTCAGCACAAGCCCAAAGTGTAGTTTTATAAGAGGCAAAGCTCATACAACCCAATTCATACCCCACTCTGCTGGCCCAGCACCTCTGCGGCACACACCAGCAGCACACCCCTGCAGGACACGTGCAACACACACCTGTGCAGCGCACACCTGCATCACACACACACCTGCAACACACTCCTGCAGCACACACCCCTGCCATACACACCTACAGCACACCTACAGCACACTCCTGCAGCACACACCCCTGCAGTGCACACCTACAGCACACACCTACAGCATACACCCCTGCAGCGCACACCTACAGCACACTCCTGCAGCACACACCCCTGCAGTGCACACCTACAGCACACACCTACAGCACACACCCCTGCAGCGCACACCTACAGCACACTCCTGCAGCACACACCCCTGCAGTGCACACCTACAGCACACACCTGCAGCACATGTGCAGCACACACCCCTGCAGCACACATGAACCACACCCCTGCAGCACACACCCCTACAGCACACACCTGCAGTCCCCAACTCAGGACACTATGTTGCAAGGAGAGCACCAAGCAGGCAGTGAGGAAGGGAGGGGCAGGGGAGGTCCTGGAATTTCCACCAGAGAAGGGAAGGTTTAATGGGTCCAGGGTGGCCATGATGGGGTCGCAGAAGGGCCATCACTGTGAGATGATGTGCATGTTCCAAAGAGCAGTGGGTCATGTCGGTAATGGTAGATGTTTCTATGCAGGAGGGATGTCCTGACCTGTAGATAATTCATAGATGGGATGGGCTTCTTGGAGGATGGACGGTAACTGGCTGTGGGCCAGGATTCCAACCCAAGACATGAGCTACCCCCGAGGAGTAAAGAACACTGGACATGGAGTCAGAAAAGCTGGGTGTCTCCCGTCATCTGTCTCTGTGACTGTGGAACTCCATTTTCTTATCTATAACAATATTCCCCCAAGTCTTTCTCCCCCAGGGTGTTTTGAGGGTTATGTGACATGATGTATCTAAAAGAACTGTGTAAATTACAAAGCTCTTGGGAGATAGAAAAGTGAGTATATTATTCCCTCGAAGGATCCCTTTTGTGAACTGCCTTCACAGGATTCTAGCTGGGTAGACCTAGCGCCCTGTTCTCCCTCATCAGGGAGAGACTGCCCCTAGTCTGTTCCTTGGAGGCCCAGGTCCAACACCCACCCACCCACCTGCTCACCCCTTCCCCTGAGCAGCACACATATGCAACAACAGGGACAAGGGCTCTCCCGCCGTCTTCAAGCTGAAGGCAGAGCACAGCTTCCAGACCTTAGCTCAACCATACTTCAGAGGCTCACACATAGGAGGTGAGGAGGTAAGCCCAAAGGCACTTGCACAGAGCAAGAAAGCAGCACAGTGGTCTACCACTCTTGGTGCCTCAGCTCCTTACCTGGCCTTTTGGGAAGCCCATTTCTGTTGACCTGCATTTTCAAGGGATCTCATCCAATCCAACACATTAAGTTCAAAACATGCCATCGCTTGCCAAGCCTGTTTCCCCTCTGTGAATGGGAGTGTTGGTCTCCTTGGATGAGCCCCAAGGCTCCATGCCTCTGTGGAGTCAGGCAGTCCTGAGTCTGAATGCTGGCTTTCCTTCCTAGCTATGTGACCTTATGTAATTACTCAACCTCTCTGTGCCTCAGTTTATTACATGCAACCCAGGAATAACTGTGCTTACATCTAGGATCATTTGTGAGAACTAAAAGAGATACTACTGGGAACTTGCTCAACACAGAGGTGCACAGTAAGTGCTCTTATTATCATCACTATCGCGGGGGTCTTGGGACTGTACTGTAACCGTGGAATCCTGGGCTTTGGGGCAGCAGGGCAGGCGTTAGGAAAGCGTAAGGGGTCAGGGGACTTGTAGGCGCAGTGGGACCGCCCCAATGAGGCAGTCTCAGGCACCTCAAGAGTCATGGGAGACGAGATCCCGGGAGATGCCTCTCCAGTCACGGGGTGGGCTTCTGGGTCCCCAGGTGGGAGACGCTCCCAGAGTCCTAAGGTTTCCAGCCCCCCACCTCGGCGGGGATGCCCCCCAGAGTCGGGGGGTGGGGGCCCGCGCGGCCCGAGGGCAGGGCTGACTCCGGGGGCCTGCCCGCAGGTGCGCCGGCCCAGCGCTGGTCCATGCACGTGCCGGCCGAGGTGAGCGCGGCGGCGGGCGAGGCGGCCGTGCTGCCCTGCACCTTCACGCACCCGCACCGCCACTACGACGGGCCGCTCACGGCCATCTGGCGCGCGGGCGAGGCGTACGCGGGCCCGCAGGTGTTCCGGTGCGCGGCGGCGCGGGGCAGCGAGCTCTGCCAGACGGCGCTGAGCCTGCACGGCCGCTTCCGGCTGCTGGGCAACCCGCGCCGCAACGACCTGTCGCTGCGCGTCGAGCGCCTCGCTCTGGCCGACGACGGCCGCTACTTCTGCCGCGTCGAGTTCGCCGGCGACGTCCACGACCGCTACGAGAGCCGCCACGGCATCCGGCTCCGCGTGACCGGTGAGCGCCGTACCCTTCTTCCCGGCCCCCTTCCCGCCCCGTGCCGAGAGCTTTCCGGGTGCCCGCACTGCGCCCGCCGCGGGCATAGAAAGGGAGCAGCACACAGCCCCTCTCTAGCGCAGGGGTGTCTCACACCCGGCGATGGCCACGAGCCATCTGAGAATTTGTTTAAAATGCAGACTGCTTGCTCCGAGAAGGGCTGAACGGGGCCCAGGAATAGGCACTGTAATGACGCGCGTAGAGGCGAACGTCCGCAGAAGCTCGCAGTCGAGGGGGAGAGAAGTACGAGTTGAACAGTAATCCTGAATAGGCAAAGCCTGCAATGGGATGTGTGCTCTGTGCACTGAAGGGCACCCGCAGCCCCTCGGGTGCAGGGTGCCCAGGGAGCCCACAAGTGCCCAGTACTTTGCTAGACCCTGGCATAAAGAAGTGGGAACCAGGGTCCCCGGTGCCTGGAACACTGGTTCTCAACCCTGGCTGCGCACTGGAATTAGCTGGGGCGCCTTTAAATATCCCATCCCCACCCCCACCCTCCGTGCTGTGGGGATCCAGTTCTGGGTTCCAGTCTGGCTCTGCCAAGAAAACTTCCCATGTGCCCTTGGGCTGGCCTGGCCGCCTCTCCGAATGCATTTCAGTTTCTTCCCAGGGCCCTCGCCACCCTGCCATAGACAGGCTGTCTGGGAGTGGGAAGTGCCCCTGAAATCGTACCAGCAGACAGTCCCCAGCCCTGAGCTACGGCAACAATAACGAGTGAACACTTGTCAGTGGGCCACGCCCTAATCCAAGTACCCAATATGTCTTAACTTGCCAAATCTTCTCAACGACCCCATAAGGTAAGTGATCCCCATTTTACGCATGAAGAAACTGAGGCACGGAGCTTCGAAATAACTTGCCCAAGGGCATATCTCTGTGGGGACCCAGGCACCGTGGCGCTAGAGCGCCTACCGCCCCCAAATCTCTCGGTGACTAAACGGGACTGGGAGGGGTCTCCCTTGCCCTTGCCTTTCCCTTTGCCCGCTATGCTCTGACCAGGATTCGCTTTCTCCGCCGACCCCTTGGCCGCCGCCCGCAGCCGCCCCGCGGATCGTCAACCTCTCGGTGCTGCCCGGCCCGGCGCACGCCTTCCACGCGCTCTGCACGGCCGAGGGGGAGCCGCCACCCGTCCTCGACTGGTCCGGCCCGGCCCTGGGCAACGGCTCGGCCGCCGTGCAGGGCCCGGCTCAGGGTCAGGGTCACGGCCACCAGGTGACCGCCGAGCTGCCCGCGCTGGCCCACGACGGCCGCTACACGTGCACGGCCTCCAACAGCCTGGGCCGCGCGGAGGCCAGCGTCTACTTGTTCCGATTCCACGGCGCCTCCGGGGCCTCCGCGCTCGCCCTCCCGCTCGGGGCGCTCGGCCTCAAGGCGCTGCTGCTGCTCGGCGTTCTGGCCGCCCGCGCCGCCGCCCGCCGCCGCCTAGGTGGGTGCACTCTGGGGCCAGGGTGGGGCGGGGCGGGCGCTCTCCTAGGTAAGGCGGTCTCGCTGCCCACCTGGCATAACCCAGCCCAAACACTCTCTGCACCCGTGCGCCATCTCACGTTCCTCTCCCTGCGTACAGCCCAGGACGTGGGAACTAGCAAGGAGCTTCCTTTTACACTAAGGAAGCTGACACCGGAGAGGTTAAGGAACTTGCCTATGGCCAGCGGCAGAGAGAGAGACCCAAAAAGCATAGCGCTGCCCTTTCGGCGGCACCCCATAAATGACTCCACAGTAAGGCTTCCCAAATAGCACCATTCTGGTGTGTTACAGTAAGCATCTTGAGGACCTACTGTGTGCTGTGTAGGTGCCAGGAATACAGAGATGAGTAAGAGATGCCCAGTCTGCAGGGAGAAGGGCTGTCCGGTTGCCCAGGTACCACAGAATCACAGAGTGGCAGACCACATTCTGGTGGGACATCTGGATAGGGGCCAGGAGGGAAGGTGAGAGCTAACTCAGAAACTCAAACAAGGAGCTTGGTGGTGTTCCCAGCAGAGGGAGCAGCAAGCGCAGAGGTGAGGAAGTGTGAGTTAGTAGGGTGTCTCCGTGAGCTGCTCCTCGGGAGCGCCTGCTCTCGCTGAGCTGGTGGGGAAATCTGCTTGTGCCCCAGACAGGGGCTTCCCAGAGCTCCCGGGCCACCCAGGTCAGCAGCCCCAGACTCAGCCTCTCCTGGGATGGAATCCAAAGTTTGTCACGATTGCCCTTCCTGTGGCTCTGCCGTCGTCTGTCTTTCTGGTTCTATAAACCCACCAAGCATTCTGTACTGCACAGTCCTCAGAAAGGGAGGTCTTTCTGCTGGGCGGCACCTCACGCTCCTCTCCTCCTCAGTAACTCCCGGTCCTCTGCCAGGCCACTTCACAGCCCGCTAGCTCGTGTTTGTTACACACCCCCTCAAAAGTGGTCACTTTCCACAGTGGGGTAGGGTGGACAGCCAGGGCCTGTAGCCTGAGGCGACCATGGAGATTCATGCCTCCCCCCTCCACCTCTCTCTCTCTCTGTCCCTCACACAGAGCACCCAGTCACCCAGGACACCCCACCACGGTGAGTACCCTCCCCTCACCCACCCGGCTCTAGTCCCCACTGGCCAAGGCGTGCAGGCTTCTCAAGGCCCATGCAATAAGGATAAAGAAGAGGGTTGGGGGCTGGACCTTGACCAGGGCTTAGACTCCCCCTGTGGCCTTCCAAAGCCCTCCTCTTCGGTCTCCCAAGTCCTTGCCCTGATCAGGCCATGCTGACCTGCTCCCCCCACTCCACCGCCAGCATTTACAGTCTGGGCTTCACCCTGGTGTCTCTCCCAGACCTGCCTGGTTTCCTGGCGCTGCAGGGCCATTTTCCTGTCTTATGTCCACACTAGATGTGATTCCTCAACACTGTGTCTCCTCTTGTGCTCCTCAGCATTCTAGAACAGGCAGACTCACACAAAAGCCACCTGGGGGCACTGATTCTCCCCCAAAGCTGAAAACTTTGCAAACAAAATGCCATTAGAGGTCCAGAGGGTTAAGCTAGGAAGCGCTGACCCTGGTGCCCAGGCTCCCCTTCTCCCCCAGTGTCTGCTCATGTGGAAGTCTGTGCTGAAGAAGAAAGAATCCAATTCACTGACCCTGGGCAGTGTGCCTGGGATGCTGGGGAGTCAGGAGGTGGAACACAGTCTTTCAGGGCCCACTGGACAAGCCCAGGCATTCCTGTAACTCCATCCCTGCCTGTGCCCTGAGGCCTGGAGAAGCCATAATGCCAGCCCAGTCCCCTCTCCAGCTGCCTGCTCAACTATCCCCCACATTCATGAAAACCTGCGCAATGTCCCTTTTCTTTGCTGATTCACTAGCACACCAAGGCACCTAAATCAGAAAGCTGAGTGTTCAAATATTTATTGAGTACCTGCCATGTACCAGACGCTGTTTTGGATGCGAACACTACAGCAAACTTCCCTGACCTCAGAAAACTCACATAACATGGAGAATTTAATAAACACCTAGACACAATCATCTTAGATTCTAAAATAAGAGCTGTGAGGAAAATGGACAGGGCCACGCAGCAGAGCTCCCAGCGGAGGGAGGCATTCAGTGGGCAGGCCAAAGGCTCAGGGGACACCTGGGAATGGGCTGATGGGAAATCACTGAGTGGTGGGGAGCAGACAGGTGGCCCCATCTATACAAGAGTGGGGGCCAGGAGACTTTTGGGGTGGCTGCTGACGAAGGCTGAGGCCGGCTTGACACTAGGAAGGAGGTGGGCTGGTGGAGGTGGGGAGGTGGGGCAGGTGGAAGGCGGGGTTGACCAGACGGCCAGGTGGGCAGCAGGGCCAAGGGAGGCAGCAAGGTGCCCAGGCCTGAGCTGTACCCTGGTGTCACTGACCAAGATGAAGACAAGAGAGAGGGAAGGGGTGGGGTGGTGAGGATCATGGGAGCACTTACATGTAGGTCTGAGGTGCTCATCAGGGAAGAAGTCAAAGTCAGGAGAGCAGCTAGGGCTCAGGAGGCCAAGCCTAGGAGAGCAGTCTGGAGGGCACGTGACACAAGATGGTTGTTGAAGCCACCAACGAGATCCCTTAGAGAAGATGGCGCCTCTGCGGTCTGGGCTGCCATTCCCCAGAGCCTCCTCCCCGCTCCGCAGCTGCTGCCCCTGCCCTGTCTCCACCCTTCAGGTAGTCCCCAAGCCATCTCTGTTGTACTAGGCCCCAGGCCCCTCTCGTTCCCCCTTCCTGCCTGTCGCCAGGGCATGGTCTGGGCAAGTGGCGAAGACCCCACTTCTGTATCGGGTAGTCAACCGACTCTCTTCTGTCCACAGGCCCCAGGCTCAGGAGTCCAACTATGAGAATTTGAGCCAGATGAGCCCTCGGGACCCACCAGCAGCCACATGTTTACCGTGAGGAGTCTTTTGGCCACTGGCATCCTCTTGTGCAGCGTGAGGAGCAAAGGCCAATGCCAGGCTTGGCTGGGACAGCCCTTCCTGGCTCCCAGCCACCTTGGCAGCCCCCTGTCAGGCGAGCCCCCGCAAAAGGTTTCCAGACCCCATTCACAGAGGCTCAGTGGTTTCCTACATCGATGTCTGTCCCAGAGCCCCATGTATGTCAGTGGGACCAGCATTTGGAAAGAATGTATATGTGTGTGCATGTGTGTGTGCGTGCGTGCATGAGCTCCAGTGTGAAATTTACAGTCAAGCTCTGGCCCTTTCTTACAGAGAACACCATCATAAAATGGGCAAGACACTGGTCAAAGGGTCTCTCAGGCTCTGACCTGCTGTGTCGACCAGAGCACTTTGTTACCTCTCTGAGTGTTAGTTTGTCCACTCTTAAACATGGACAATAATCTCCCCTCCTGGCTACTAGGACTATCAAGATCTGAAGAAATAATGGATGTGAAGGGACTTTGGGAAGTACAGAGCTATGTACAGATGTGGGGGTGGGGGAGGCAGGTCACAGGCTCCTCCTTTCAGGCACCCTTGGGACGTGCAGAGACTTCTTTGGAAAGTGGGGGCCCCGCACCAGCCTGGCCAAGAACGAGGATTCCGGAGAGCAAGCCTCTGAGGCTGGGGCTGTGCAAACCTGCGGCCCCAGGAACATCAACTCAGCGGTGCAAGAAGCCCAGTACCCCTGCCCCCTGGGGTCTCCTCTGTGACTGCCCACCTCTTACTCCAGTGGCTGCTCTGCACTGCCTTGAGCTGGGACCCCTGCGGAAAGGAAATGAAACATCCATCATCTCACAGCATCTGGGATCCACTGTCCTCAAGGACCAAAAGCCAAGAGGTCAGAGGGGAAGTCTGGGCTGTAGGTTCATGCGGATAAAGCAGCTGTGGTTGTGACCTCTCCCTGTGCCCTGCATCTGCCCTGGACGTGGGAGGTCTGAATGCACCAGCAATTTCACAGCATTTGCCCGAGGCCTTGCAGACTGACTGCAGGGTGCTGCCTTCCGTGCTCACACCTCAGTGTGAGCCTGTGCATTTTAATTCCTGCAGTCTTTGGGCTCAGGGGATGGGGGAGGAGGTGTGCTTGAGCTCAGGGCAAGCTGGTGAGAAGAAAGGGCCTCTGGGCCAGGGACTGAAGAAGCAATGGGGACAGTCTTTCCAAACTTTTCCCAAAGCTAGGGTGGTAACCTAGAGGAAGGAAGTTCCTCACTGATGCTTTCCTGGGGAGGTGGCCTGAGGTATGCAGGAGCCCCACAAGTTAAAAAGTAGGGCAGTGGGTGACAAGGTTCCCTTGCTCAGCAGAGCCTTCGCCAGGGCAAGTGGGTGACAGCAGCTCATGGTTGTTAACTTGGGATCCATCCAGGAGCCTGTCTGAACTGTCAGAAGGTCAGAGGAATTGGAATTTGTACTTGCTTGTTTGACGATACTTTGGGCACCTCCATGGAGGGTCCTGTATCGCCAGGGAAGAAGTGAGGGACACAGGGGTGGTGTGTCTTGAAACATCTGCATGGTCTTTGAGGCCCGTTTCACAGCCAAGAAAAAGCTACAATAGCAATTATTTCTTATGTAACTATTTTGTGGTAGGAATTGGGCCAGGTGTCTGGGCATTCAGAAATGAACCAGGTGTGTGTATCAGTCAGTCTGAGCTAGGCTGTGCTGTGTTAACAAACAAACCCAAAATCACAGTGGCTGAAAACAACTAGAGTTTATTCTCCCCAGAATTACGTGTCTGTC